AATTAGCTGGGCATGGTGGTGCACACCTGTAGTCCCAGCTACCTGGGAGGTGAGAGGATTACCTGAGCCTGGGAATTTGAGTCTGCAGTGAGCCATGATTGCCCCACTGCACTCCAGCCTGGGTGACAGAGCAAGATCCTGTCTTTAAAAAAAAAAAAAAGAGAAAAAGAAAATGAACAATTTCTTAAAAATCACATAATCAGTTGCAGTTGATTTGTTCAATTCAGAGTTTAAATAAGATCTACATGTCGAGGTTAGAGCATAAAGCTTTTATCTCTCTCTCTCTCTTTTTTTTTTTTTTGAGACAGAGTCTTGTTCTGTCGCCCAGCTTAGAGTGCAATGGAATGATTTTGGCTCACTGCAACCTCCACCTCCTGGGTTCAAGCGATTATTTTGCCTCAGCCTCCAAAGCAGCTAGGATTACAGGAACACGCCATCACTAATTTTTTTTGTTTGTCCTTTTTATTTTGTTTTGAGACAGAGACTTGCTCTGTCACCCAGGCTGGAGTGCAGTGGCTCGATCTTGCTTCACTGCAGCCTCTAACTTCCAGGTTAGAGCAAGTCTCTTGCCTCAGACTCCCATGTAGCTGGGACTGCAGGTGTGTATCCACACTCGGCTATTTTTTATATTTTTAGTAGAGACAGCATTTCACCTTGTTAGCCAGGCTGGTCTCCAACTGCTGACCTCAGGTGATCTGCCCGCCTTGGCCTCCCTAAGTGCTGGGATTACAGGGGCGAGCCACTGCTCCCAGCTCGCTCTTATATATCTTTTAGTCTATTGACTTCTTTTTTCTTGATATTTATTTTTCGGAGAAATCAAACACTGGATCATCTAGAGTTTCCACATACTGCGTTTGAGTACACTGCTATGGTACTGACCGACGTATTAGATTCTCTATATTCTCTAAAATATCTGGTCATTAACTAGAGTGGTGATTCTCAACAAGTTGTGTTTTTTGTTTTTGTTTTTCCTCTAGAAGATATTTGGCAATGTTTGGAGATCATTTTGGTCGTCGAAACTGGAAGGATGCTATTTCTGGCACCTATTGGCTAGAGGCAGGGTGCTGCTAAACATCCTATAATGTACAGGACAGCTTCCTCCCACCCCAAACAAAGAATTATCTGGTCCAAAGTGTAAATATGTGTCAGAGTTGAGAAACTCAGCTCTAGAGGCTTGATCAAAATCAAGGTCAATTATTTTGGCAAGGTCTGCTTGTCACTGTTTTTGTGATCAGATTTGATAGTGGGCTAAAGTGTAATCCATGTGATTTACCCATTGTATAGTTGCTGCCTTTTGCATAATGTCATGCATTCACTGATGATCATTATGTTGTTAGGAGTTGCAAAATTATTGCCTTCTTATTTTGTCTCTCTTTTGGCCATTATGACTGGAATCATTTTATAAAAATGAACTCCCCCCACATCAGTGATCTGATTACTCGGAGGGATAATATGTTTAGGAAAGGGAAGAAAATGCTTGATTCTCTTCATTCATATTCAGTAGTTTTTAGAATGATTAGTTTCAGAATCATGAATTGGTTTCCTAGTTTCCAAAGGTGATTGTGGCAGATTGTATTTTTCAAAGATGGTTGCAAAAAAAGGCTTGTCTCAAATGTTCTTCTATAATCTTGCCATTCCCACTTTTAGAGGTAGGTGGAGTCTAACTCCTCTGCCCTTGAATCTGGATTGGTTTATTGTTTGTAACCAATGCTTTGTGACTCCCAAGGCTCAGTCAGCACTGCGACCTTCCCCTCATTAGCTGAGACTCCAGTCTTTGAAGTCTTAAGCCATCATGTAAGAAGCTCCAAGTGCCCTGAGCCACCATGCCACCAGGAAGCCAAGTCACATGGAGAGGCTACTAGTCCGAGTCTCTGAGTCCTCCCACTCCAGGTGCCAGACATGTGTACAAAGCAGTCTTCATAGGATTGCAGCCCTCAGGCATCAGGCCACTCCCAGCCTTTGAATCCTCCTGGGTGAGGCCACAGACATCTGGAGTAGAGGCAAACTGTCTCTTCTGTGAGCTGTTTGATTTCCTGACCCACAGAATCAGTGAGCATAGTAAAATGGTTGTCTTATACTACTAAGTTTGGAATGGTGTATTATACAGCATCAGTAACTGGTGAATGACTAATACACCCACATTTGTTCATGTCCTATTATACACACACGCGCACACACACACACACACACACACACACTTTTTTTTTTCTTTAGAGGTGAGGTCTTACTGTGTTGTCCAGGCTGGTCTTGAGTCATCCTATGTCAGCCTCTCAAAGTGCTGGGACTACAGATGTGAGCCACTGCACCTGGCCTATACCCACATATTTTATTTTATTAAAAAAAAATTTTTTTTTTGAGTCACAGTCTTGCTCTGTTGCCCAGGATGAAATGCAGAAGCACGATCTTGGCTCATTGCAACCTCTGTTCCCTCGGGGTTCAAGTGATTCACCATGCCCAGCTAATGTTTTTGTATATTTTGTACAGACAGGGTTTCATCATGAGGTTGGGAGTTTGAGACTAGCCTCGCCAACATGGCGAAACCTTGTCTCTACCACAAACACAAAAATTAGTCTGGTGTGGTGACACATGCCTATAATCCCAGCTACTCCGGAGGCTGAGGCGGGAGAAGGGCTTGAACCCTAGAGGTGGAGGTTGCAGTGAGCTGATATCGTGGCATTGCACTCCAGCCTGGGCAACACAGTGAGACTCTGTCTCGAAATAATAATAATGCTGGGAAAGAACAACAGCATCTAAGAAAAACTGATGGTAACACATAAGGTTAGACAAATATTCAAAGACAACTCATAATCTGGAAACCACATATCTGTTCTCTTGGCTATCCCATATGCAATGGAGCCAAAGGCTCTGTACAGGTTTCCAACCAGGAATCATAGCCATGAGAGCAACTGTGGTCCTTGCCGTCCTGGTAAGAGCCTGCCTGGCTTCCAAGGGAGGCACTTGTGAGGGAGGAGAATAGAAAATTAGCATAACCAAGGGTTAAAGTGGAAGGAAAAGAACAGCAGGTGCAGCAAGTTGTAGGCCAGGTTAAGCAGCACACAGGCCACATCCTCACTCCTGTGATAACAAGACAGAAGTCTCCAGCCTCCGAGTGGCCACAGGCCTATCCTTCATAGGGTGTAACCACTTGGAGGCCTCCAAAGGGCACATTTACCCTTTACCTGTTACCAAATTCTTTTAGCTTAATAAAAACCCTAAAAAACACTGTAATCTGGGCTCTTTAACTGCTTACTCTAGCCCACTCCCGCTCTGTAGAGTGGACTTTGGCTTCAATAAATCAGCGCTTTCGTGCCTTCTTTCTTCTTTTGTGGCTTCATTCTTTTTTTTTTTTTTTTTTTTTTTGAGACGGAGTTTCGCTCTTGTTACCCAGGCTGGAGTGCAATGGCGCGATCTCGGCTCACCGCAACCTCCGCCTCCTGGGTTCAGGCAATTCTCCTGCCTCAGCCTCCTGAGTAGCTGGGATTACAGGCACGCGCCACCCGTGCCCAGCTAATTTTTTGTATTTTTAGTAGAGACGGGGTTTCACTATGTTGACCAGGATGGTCTCGATCTCTTGACCTCGTGATCCACCCGACTCGGCCTCCCAAAGTGCTGGGATTACAGGCGTGAGCCACCGCGCCCGGCCCGGCTTCATTCTTTTGTTGCTTTGTGTGCTTCGTTGACTTCTTTCTTCAACAAGCCAGAAGCCTGGAAAACTTGCAGTCAATATCGTCCACCCAGTAACACTTCTACACTCTAGAAGTATCAGTACCACCAAGAGATGTCAAGACATCAAAGGGTCAAGTGTGGCATAAGGCCCCAGATTAAGGCTCAATATTATATGTGCCCTGACATTGGGCGAAAACAAGGAGTGCTTAACGGATTTACTGCAAATTTTCTGCCCTATTGTACTCCTTTGAATAAGGTGCCCTAGCCGAACCACTCTTTTCAAGGCCAGGCACAGTAGCTGCTTACTGCATAGTAGCGGGAGTCAGGTTCCTGCCAGCCTGCAGAATTATTCAAACAAGCAAGTCACACCGTCCTTCAGGAAACAGGGGTTACCTCCCATACTCTTGCTACTACAAAGCATCCTGGAAAAACCCGCACTGATTACTCTGCTCCTGAGTTCAACACACTCTACCCTGCATGGTGTGCTGGGCTCTCCTTCCCTGGGCTGTAAGTATGGGTAATTAACAAACCGATGCTCATCTCATCTATCCAGTGTTAGCTATCATGTGCTTTGCAATAATCTGCACTTTCTCTGTAATTTTTTTTTTTTTTTTTTTTTTTTTTTGAGGCGGAGTTTCGCTGTTGTTACCCAGGCTGGAGTGCAATGGCGTGATCTCGGCTCACTGCAACCTCCACCTGCTGGGTTCAAGCAATTCTCCTGCCTCAGCCTCCCGAATAGCTGGGACTACAGACGCTTGCCATGACGCCCAGCTAATTTTTGTATTTTTAGTAGAGACGGGGTTTCACCATGTTGACCAGGATGGTCTCGATCTCTTGACCTTGTGATCCACCCGCCTCGGCCTCTCAAAGTGCTGGGATTATAGGCGTGAGCCACCACGCCCGGTCTGTAATTCTTGGGAGACATCCGGATCCTGTGCTCCTGGGTGGAGGATTTTAGATAATCCAGAATGGGTAGGTGATTTGAACGCCTGCAGTTCGACACAGCGCCAAACCTCACTAAGGTGTTCACAAACCAAAAGTGGAACCGCCAGGAAAATGATTGCCGGTTCCAGTCACGGGACCGGCCCCACGACCCGGGCAGAGACCGAGAAAGGTGCTCACCAGAAACAGGGAGACATGCATGAAACCGCCCTCCAGCGAACGAAACACATCCGTCGGAAGACACACACGAGCATTGGTGTGTCGCATTGGAACACACAGCCCCAGGAATTTTTTACAGGGGCTACACCTGAACAAAAGCAGAACACGGTCAGCCTTGACAATGCGCGTGCGCGAAGCGGAGCACGCGCAGCCTTGACAATGCGCACGCGCGAATCGCGAGCCACTGCTCGCGTCACAGAGACCGTTATCGCTACCGCTCTCGTTGCCTGGGAGCTCTCTGTGGCAGCGTGTTGGACTCGGAGCTAAGGCCAGTCCTCGCCAGAATGTCGACAGGATGGTCTCAGGAGGCCAGGATTCGGGGAGGGTCGAGCAGGAGGCAGAAACTTCAGGAGGAGGGTGGGATGGCAGCGCAGGGTCCTATCCTCAGGCCGGCGAAAACGGTGTGCAGGTGAGTCGCCTAAAAACTCGGGCCCTGTGATTTCGAAGACAGGTCTGCCTGTGTGCCAATGTGCTGCCCTCTCACACGAGGGTCCTTGTCGCAGAGAGCAGAACCGGCAGCTTCAGGGGCTGCCTGGGGATAGGTGCTACTGTGTCACTGCTGCCTCTCTTTCTCTCTCTCTCTCTCTCTCTCTCTCTCTCTCTCTCTCTCTCTCTCTCTCTCTCTCGTGTGTGTATGTCCTTCTTTTTCTTATTCCTCTCTCCTTTTTCTCTCCTCTCTCTCTGTCTCTGGAGTCCCTGGGCTTTAGAGACCCGGGCATGCCACTGCTTCGCACAGGGAGGAGGGAGGCAGAGGGCTTATCAGTGAATTTTCAGCCGACCCCACTCCTTGAGGTCCATGGGACCTTCTGTGCCCCAGCAAGGCCCTTCCCGCCCCCGCCCTTTTTTTTTTTTTTTTTTTTTTGAGACAGTTTCACTCTTGTAGCCCAGGCTGGAGTGTAATGGCGCGATCAGCTCACTGCAACCTCCACCTCCCAGGTTCAAGTGATTCTCCTGCCTCAGCCTCGCGAGTAGTTGGGATTACAGGCATGCCACCATGCCCTGCTAATTTTGTATTTTTAGTAGAGACGGGGTTTCTTCATGTTGGTCAGGCTGGTCTTGAACTCCTGACCTCAGACAATCCGCCCTCCTCGGCCTCCCAAAGTGCTGGGATTACAGGTGTGAGCCACCACACAAGGCGCTTCCCTACATTGTAATCCCATTCTTGTTTACTTGCTGGAATCCAGCGCCCTGAAGCTCCTTCTCCACCGGGAGCCGAAGAAGACCGCTCAAAGAGGTCCTGAGGACAGGAGTCCTCTGGGTCTGACCCTGGGTCTCAGGGTTGCCCCTTTCCTAGGCCTCCCCAAACCCGGGGCTTTCACTGCCACCGTTGCGGCTTTTTTTTTTTTTTGAGATAGAGTGTTGCTCTGTCGCTCAGGCTGTAGTGCAGTAGCACGATCTAGGCTCACGGCAATCTCTGCATCGTGGGTTCAAGCAATTCTCCAGCCTCAGCCTCCCGAGCAGGTGGGACTACAGGCGTGGGCCACCACACCCAACTAATTTTTTGTATATTTAATAGATATGGGGTTTCACCATGTTGGCCAGGATGGTCTCGATTTCCTGACCTATTGATCTGCCTGCCTCGGCGTCCCAAAGTGCTGGGATTACAGGCTCGAGCCCTGCACCCGGCCTAGCCTGCCGCCATTTTTTAAAGTGTTCGTAGCCTGACTTCCCAGAGCGAGGTGCGAGCCGGCCTCGCTACTGCGCAGGCGTGAGGCGCGAGCCCTGCTGGGTTAACGGTGATGGCCGCGGTTGCTCCGGGATGGATTCCTGAGTCTTGGCAAAGGAAGAGCCCTCTATGGCAATGCGGCCCGGGGCTCAGGCCGCTCCTCAACAGGAAGTGCACAGGATAGTTTCTAGAGCCCAGGATTCGCAGAGGGTGGACCAGGAGGAAGAAATCTCAGGCGGAGCACCAGGGAAGCAGCGTGGAATCCCAACCTCAGGCCTGAGCTCACTGGGAACGGGTGAGTCTCCCCAAATGTCGTGCCCTTGTCATCTGCAGTACACGTCTGCCTGTGTGCCCATGGACTGTTCTCTCACCTGAGGGTCGTAGTAGTGGAGAGCAGAACCCCGTAGCTTCGGGGTCTGCTTGGGGATAGGTGTTACTGTGCTGCTGGTGTCTGTGTGTGTGTGTTTTTTTTTTTTTGTGGGTGCACATGTATGTCTTTCTCTTATTTCTCTGTTTTCTTTCCCTCTCTATGCATCTGTGTGTGTGTGCGCGCGCGCGCGCGTTTGTGTGTTAAGACCCATGTGCCCTGTGCGCCAGATGGCGGTTTCTTGCACCTCGGCCTTTCTTTTGGTGAGCCTCCCGTGGTATCTCTGCCTGGGTCGTGTGGCCGCTTGTCAGTGTTTTTACTTGACCGTTCCAGTTCAGGTTTCTGAAGTCTTGGGTAGGGTCATTGTGATGGACCCGCAGGGGTTTCAGTGACCTCCCCATCCTGAGCGGCCTCTTCGTTAATACCAAGGTGATCACACCCCAGCCAAGGACACAGCTCATTGTCCAGTTGGAGGAGGGGTGCCCCCCGACCTCCAAGAAGATGGTTCTCACTTCTTTGCTTTGCCCTCCTTGAGGAATGTAGCCATAGCTTGACACAGGAATGGACAAGGACGCCGGGAACGGGATGTGGCAAGCATCTCTGTCACTCCAATGCTGGCCTTTCTGGCCAAGTCGATCGTTTGGCACTCCTCCCTGGATGCCCATGGCACCGGGACTCTGGCCTATTTTCTTTCCTCTCTTTTTCTCTGCCCTGTTTCTGAGATGCTTAGAGGCTTCTTGGTCTGGCTCAATGTCTTCAACAAAGAGCACTTCCCATTCCAGCAGGGAGAAACTTCGTGGGGATCCATGTCTGCTGGGACAAGTCCTAATGTGTGTGATAGATTATATTGATTGCTGAGAATGGCCAAAAGGAAAATTGAGCCAGCTCCCAAGTGAAAAACTGCTTGGGGCATTCTAAAGTAGTAAGTGGCATATGTATATCACACACCGGTTAAATTAGGTTTTTCAGCACGGGATGTGTGATGCTGCCCCCCCGAGTGCTGCCTCGTGGAGAACGAGTTCTAGTTTGTCTTTGATCAGTGGTAAGCAGGCAGCAGCTGCCTGCCTAGTTTATCCTGGGTCTCTGAGGAAACACAGCTGTTGATAATCAACAGCTGCTTGTTGATAACCACCTGTTCAAAGAGAATTAATACAGGCTCTCAGCTTGGAAGGCTGTTTAATCCCCTTGAGGCTCTCAGTTGGGAAGGCTGTTCTGTTCTTGTGTTTGTTTCTTAATTCCTTCAGCGCCGTCTGGATCAGGTTCTCCATGATGGAGCTGCTCTCGGCAGTTTCATGTCTGATTCCCCTTCCAAACCTCTTTCTGGATGATTGGGCAGGTGTGGTGATCGTGGAGCTCCAGGCTTCCATACATATTTGAAACCGGGAAGCTTTTTTGTTCTCCATGTCCCAATGGATGGCTGTGTGGTTGGTATAGGGAGAGCAGGAGGTGACCGTGGCTGGCATTTGTCATCTCAAAAAGGCGGTGTTGCATCCCAACTGCACATCCTCTCTCATTCTTGAGGGTTATTTGGTTCCTCTGCTCCTGGAAAAGTGCCCCCAAGTACTGAATCCTTTGGTTGTCATGATGCCAGTGAGTGAGCAAAAGAAACCAGGTTTTGCTGGGGTGCAGGAAAGGTTGAGTCAGGGGTACCTGCCGGATGGTTACGGGGCTTGGTGAGCTGTACTTTAGAGAAACCTCTCGGCTCTTCTGGCAGGCATCCCTGAATGTGGCTTGGACTGTGGCACAGGCTCTTTCATGTAGGTTTTCAGGTATGTTTTGCTTTTCCTTGGCATTGTGGAAAAGGTCTGCAGTGCCCTCCTGGGCGCCTGCCTGGACCTCACTGTTAGTCTTGGCATGGCCCATAGGGCCTTGGACGCACACAACTCACTCAGTTTGCTCTTGTGGGACTCCAGTGCCATGTGTGATTACATTGCCTCCACCTCGGACACGCCTCCGTCTCTTTGCCCATGCCTTGGAACTCAGTGTCGGAATGCAGGAGTCCCTGGGCTTTGAACACCCAGGCAGGCCACTGCTTTGCCCAGGAAGGAGGGAGGCAGTGGACTCAGGGGTCAGTGAATTTTTAGCCGACACAACAACTTGAGGGTCCTGGGATCTTTCTGTGCCCCAGCGAGGCCCTTCCAACATCTGTACATTGTAATTCCATTTCTGCTTACTTGGTAAACAGAACCAAAATGGAATCCAAAGAGGAGTCTGGAGAGCCAATCGGGTGCCCTGAAGCTCCTCCTCTGCTGGGATCTGGAGCAGAAGACCGCTTAAGAAGGTCATGAGGACAGAATTCCTGTGGATCCGACCATAGGCCTCGCTCACACCACTTTCCCAGGACCATCCAAACCTGTTATTTTGCTGCCACCACCGCAGCCGTCATAGCCGCTGCTGCCATTTTTTAAAAAGATCACAGCCTGAATTCCTGGAGGGAGGTGCAAGTCAGCCTCGCTAGTTAGTGTGTGCGAGGCACCAGCTGCTTTTGGGTCATAGTGACAGCCATTATTGCCCGGAGATGGTACCTGAGACTTGGCAAAGGAGGAGGCCTCTGTGGCAGTCTATCAGGGTTGGGCTCAAGCCACTCCTTGCCAGGACATCAAGAGTATAGTCTCCGGAAGCCAGGATTTGTGGAGGATCCACCAGGAGGGAGAAACCACAGGTGGAGCATGTAAGAAGCAGTGCGGATTCCCAGCTTCAGACCTGTGCCGATGGGATACAGGTGTGTCTCCCCAAATGTTATGCCCCTGTTATCTTGAGAACACATTTGCCTTTGTGCCTATGGGCTGCTCTCTAACTCAAGTGTGGTAATCGTGGAGAGCAGAACCTAGCAGCTTCAGAACCTGCCTGGGGGTGGCTGTTACTGTGCCAGGGCTGTGTGTGAGTGAGTGAGTGAGTGAGTGTGTGTGTGTGTGTGTCTGTCTGTCTGTCTGTCTGTCTGTCTGTCTGTATCTCTTCCTCTTCCTCTTATTTCGCTCTCTGGCTCTGTCCATCTCTAAAATCTCTGGTCTTTCGAGATACCGGGAGGCCACTGCCTCACTCAGGGAGGAGGGAGGCAGTAGGTGTAAGGGTCAGTGAATTTTTAGGCCACACCACACCTTGAGGCTGATGGGATCTTTCTATTCCCCATCGAGACCCTTCCTGACTCTCTCCATTGTAATCCCATAATAGCTAACCCCATGGGATCCAAAATCCGATCCCCAAAGAGGAGTCTGAAGAGCCCCTCGGGTGCCCTGAAGCTCCTCCTCCAGGAGCCGAAGCAGAAGACCCCTGAAGGAGGTCCTGAGGACAAAAGGCCTATGGGTTGGACCCTGGCTTTGTCTCCCACCCCTCTCCATACCTCTTTCCTACACCTCTCCAAACCCACTGCTTGGCACTTGCCTCACCGCCACTGCCACCACCATTGCTTAAAGGGTTCACAGCCTGACTCCCAGAGCCAAGCCCGAGTCAGCCTTCCCAATGCCCATGTACGAGGCAGCAGTGGCTCCTAGGGATCTGGTGACCTTTCACTGTTGCCCGGTGGTGGGTTTCTGAGACTTGGCAAAGGAGGAGCCCCCTGTGGTGGTGCGTCACGGACAGGGCTCGGGCCACTCCTCATCTGGACATCCACAGCATAATCTGCAGAGCCAGGATTTGCAGAGGCTCGACCAGGAGGAAGAAACCTCAGACGCAGAAAGCTGGGGAGGCAGCGTGACAACACAGCCTCAGGCCTGCATTCATGGGGTACAGGTCACTCTCCCCAAATGTCCTGCCCTTCTCATCTCGAGGACACATCTGCCTGAGTGCCTGAGGGCTGTTCTCTCACCCGAGGGTCGTCGTCAAGCAGACCAGAAATCTGCAGCTTCAGGGGCTGCCTGGGGTGGGTGTTACTATGTGTGTGTACATGTATTTGTGTCTGCGTGTGTGTCTGTGTGTCTCCCTTTGTGGGATTTCTCCCTCTTTCCCACTCTCTTTTTCTCTATGGATCTATGGGGACATGTGTCTTGGGACGCACTTACCTGATGTGACCGAGGGTGGTTTCTGACATGTCGGCTTATCTGCTGGTAAGAATCTTTCGACGTGTCTGCCCGAGTCTGGGTCCTGTAGCCACTTAGGCTTGTCAGTCTTTTTCTCGCCAGTTTGAGTTGTGGGGTTGATGGAAGCCTGGGCCACGTAGGTCAGGAGCTGAGTCGGACTAGCAGGGGTTTCGGTCACTTCCCATCCTGAGCGGCCTCTGTTACACGACCAAGGTGATCACACCCCAGTCCAGGACAACAGCGTCACCACAGCTCATCGACCACCTGAAGGAGGGACGCCCACCGACCTCAGAGGGATGGTCCTCACTTCTCTGGCCTTGGTTCTCAGATAGAAATCTAGCCACAGCTCGACACGGGGATGGACACGGACGCCGGGAACGGGATGGGGCAAGCATCTCTGTGACTCCGACGCTGGCCTTTCTGGCCACGTGAAGCGTTTGGCACTCCTCTTGGTTTTCCCGTGGTGGTGGCATGCTGCTGTATTTGGCCTGGACTGTGGCCTGTGCTCTGTCCTCCTTGTTTCTCTCTCTCTCCTGTTTTTGAGACGTCTAGAAACTTCTTGGTCTTGCTCAGTGTCTTCCACAAAGAACACTTCTCCATCTAGCAAGGAGAATCTTTGTGGGGATCCATTTCCTGTCTGTTTTGCCCTCCAAAGCTGTTTGTGGTCGATTGGATGGGTGCCAGGATCGTGGAGCTCTGGGCTTTCACACCTGTCTGGGACAAGGCAGCTTTCTTGGTCTCTGTGTTTCTCCGGATGGGTATGTGGCTGTCCTTGGCCCTGTCAAAAAGGCGGTGTTGTGTCCCACCTGCACTTCCTTTGTTATTCTTGAGGGCCATCCGGTTCCTCTGCTCCTAGGGAAAGTACCTTGAAGCAGTGAATATTCTGGTTGCCACAGATTCCGGGAGCCAGCCAAAGGGACTGGGTTTCGCTGGGTGCAGGGGAGGCTGCGTCGTGGGCACCTGCCAGACCGCGGGGTGGGTGACACCATGCCTTGTGGCCCATGGGATCTTTGTGTGCCCCAGGGAGGCCCTTCCCGCCTCTCTCTATTGTAATCCCATTCCTGCTTACCTGGTGGGATCCCACAGTAGATCCCCGAAGAGGACCCGTGAAGCTCCTCTACCTGGAGCTGAAGAAAAAGACGTCTGGAGAAGGTCCTGTAGGCCAAAGTCTCTTGGGTTGGACCCTAGCTTCATGTCTCACACATCCCTTTTTCGCCCCTCTCCAAACGTGGCACTTGCCACTTTCCTGGCTTCCGCCGCTATTTATTCACGGGGTCGCAGCCTCACTTCCTGCAGCCAGGTGCGGTTTTTGTTTTTCTTCAGTGCATCCGCCCCAGGCACCAGTGCCACCTCGGGTCCCAGTGACCTTCCACCGTTGCCTGGTGATGGGTTCCTGAGACTTGGCAAAGGAGGAACCCCCTGTGGCGGTGGGTCACCGACGGGACTCAGGCCACAACTCGCCGGGACGTCCACAGCATAGTCTGCGGAGGCCAGGATTTGCGGAGTCTCGACCAGGAGGAAGAAACCTCAGGCACAGAAAGCACCGGGGAGGCGGCGAGGAATCCCAGCCTCAGGCCTGCGTCGACAAGGTACAGATCATTCTCCCCAGACGTCATCTCGTTGTCATCTCCAGGACATATCTGTCTATGTGCCTGTGGGCTGCTCTCTCACCCCAAGGTTGTCGTTGAGGAGAGCAGAACCTTGCTGCAGCTGTATGGGCAGCCAGGTGGATTTTGTGTGTGTGTGTGTGTGAGTTCGTGTGTGTGTGTGTGTGTGTTTCTTTTTTTCTGATTTTTCTCTCTTTCCTTTTTTGCCGGCTGGCTCGAGCTCTTTATGCGTTTTTGCGGGAGGATGCATTTCGGGACGCACATGTTTCCTGTGATGGAGGCTTGTTTCTGTCATGTCGGCCTTTGTTCTGTTGGGGGTTCAACATGTTTCTTTTTCAGCCGGGGTCCTTTGGCCACTTGTCGGGCTTCTCAGGCTTCTTCTCATTCGTTTGAATTGGGTTTGATGGTTACTTTAGCAACATGGGTAAGGAGCTGTGTCGGACCGGCAGGGGTTTCAGTCACTTTTCATTATGAGCGGCCTCTGTTACAGGACCAATGTGATCACACCGCAGTCAAGGACAAACGCCTCACCATAGCTCATCAACCACCTGCAGGAGGTATGCCCACCAACCTTAGAGGCATGGTTCTCACTTCTCTGGCCTTGGCCCTCAGATAGAAATCCAGCCAAAACTCGACCCAGGGATAGACCCGGAGCTGGGAACAGGATGTGGCAAGCATATCTGTCCTTTCTGGTGTTTCTGGCCACGTGAAGTGTTTGGCACTCCTCCCGGGTTGCTCATGGCGGTGGCATGCTACTTTATTAGGCCTGGACTCTGGCCTGTGCTCTGTCCTCCCTGTTTGTTGGTCTGTCTTTTTTTCTCAGACGTCTAGCGGCTTCTTGGTTTTGCTCAGTGTCTTCCACAGAGAACAATTCCCTGCCCAGCAGGGAGAATCTTTGTGGGGATCCATTTTCTGTCTGTTTTGCCCTCCACAGCTGTTTCTGGTAGATTGGATGGGTTCCATGATCATGGAGCTTTGGGCTTTCATAGCTGTCTCGGACAGGGCAGCTTTCTTGGTCTTTGTGTTTATTCAAATGGCTATGTGGCTGGCCTTGTCCCGTCAGAAAGGCGGTGTTGCGCCCCACCTGCACTTTCTGTCATTCTTGAGGGTCATTCGGTTTCTCTTCTTCTTGGGAACGTGCTTTGAAGCACTCAATGTTCTGGTGCCCACAGGTTCCGGGAGCTCGCCAAAGGGACTGGGTTTTGCTGGGTGCAGGGGATGTTCCCTCTTGGGCACCTGCTGCTTAGCGGGGTGCGGATACTACACTTTGAGACCCAGGGAATTTTTTTGTGCTTCTGGGAGGCCCTTCCCTTCTCTCTTCGTTCTACTACCATTCCTGGCTACCCTGTGGGATCCCAATCCGGATCCCCCAGGAGCAGCCCATCAGGCATCCTGAAGGTCTTTCTTTGCATGGAGCTGAAGCAGAATACCTCTAGAGGAGGTCCTGTGGACAAAATCCCTATGAGTTGGACCCTGTGTTTGTTTCTCACACACTTTTTTCTCATTCCTTTGCAATCCCAGTGCATGCCACTCTCCTGGCCTTGCCACCATTTATTTCTTTTAGGAGTCGCAGCCTGACTTTCTGGATCCAGGCATGAGTCCTTCCCACTGAGTTTGCTTGAGGCACCAGCAGCTACTGGGGTTCCAGTGACCTTTCACTGTTGCCTGGTCATGGGTACACGAGCCTCGGCAAAGGACGAGTCTTCTGTGTTGGGGGGTCACTGACTTGCTCTGGCCATTCTTCGTCAGGTCGACCATAGCATAGTCTGTGGAGACCAGGATTTGCGGAGGCTTGTCCAGGAGGAAGAAACTTCCAGTGTAGAAAGCACTGGGGAGGCAACAAGGAATCTCAGCCACGGTCCTGTGTGGATGCAGTATAGGTGAGTCTCCTTGAAAGCTGCTGCCTTCTTGAAGGTCAGGCTTTCTTTTCGTGACCCTGTTTTAGCGTCTCTGCCTGGGTTACTTATAGTCGTGTTTTGTGTGGTTACATTTTGGGTTTGTGGATTTCTAGAGGTGGTCGGGGTTTTTTTGGATCACCTATGGATTTAAATTAGCTCAGCATCCCGAGTGACCTGTTCTCTAAGATGAAGGCCACCAGAGCATAGCTAGGAATGAAAACCTCACAGCAGAGCTCATTGTTTACCTGCAGGAGCATACAGGGTGACCTCAGTGAGGATGGTTCCCATTCCCATCTTTTGCATCCTTTGAGAAATGTAGCCACAGGGCAATACAAGTATGGAGTAGACGGGATCTGGACCCTGGATGTATTGATTTGCAGGCTGTGCTTCCCATATCACTAAAAATAAATTAGTGAGTGTTTTGTAAGTAAGTGGCATTCTTGTTAAGGTATGAAGGTAAAGAAAAAAACTAAGAAAAATATTCTAACTTGCCTGCCAGTTACCTGATTGTTACAAATATAGTTCTCATTTTAATTCACCTTCTCATGCAAAGGCCCTTGGTAGTAATACCGAATTTCCTAAGGTAGCCTTGCTGTATTTTGTATAATTAAGAAGTCATGCATATCAAGAGTATCTGGAATCCTCTCCAATTTGTTTTAAATATGTGATTAATCACATACCTAAAACAACATACCAACAAGAGAAACTCCTTTTTTACTTAGTTGCTTCGAATTTATATGTTTAAGCTTGTGATTCCCTCATAAACCTGACAGTTCACTGTGGTTGGCACTCTTCCAGGCTTACAGGTCTCATCTTCCATAACTATTCAAATGCTTCTGGCCTTTGATTAATTCCCCTAAATACTGTGTTTAAAAGTTACATTGAGAAACATATTGGTTATATATAGGCAGCAAGCAGTTTAGTGTGGACGTGATCGCACAGGACAAGTCACATACCACAAGCTTCTGGCTTTTCCCAGCCAATCAGAAAGAATGCTTTCCTGGTAATGTAAGGGTTATTGCCGAGTTTAAAATGAGGAAACTGAGGCCAGTATAAGAACAATCAGAGGCTAATTTATTTGTCTCCCAGGCGAGGTTCTGTGGTCCTGGGGAAAGGGGCCAAAGAAGTCACATTTCTTCTCAGGGCAGGGGGTTTAATGGGGATTAGAGGGGGGCTGGCCTAGGATGCATGGGGTGGGCTGCCATTGGGTAAGGCTTGGTGGGATTTCTTTAGTTTTCACGGGTTCCGCTGTATAGTTTAGTGCTGAGGTTCAAATGCATAGCTTGGTGCTGAGAGTGCATAGTCCAGTGCTGAATATAGACCCGTGGGCAGAATGCAGAAGTGGGCAAGGGGAGCCCGCATGGAGGAGCCAGATGCTGATAAACTGTTATCAGGCATAGAGAGGGGTGGGTGGTGTTCATCTGGCTCTTAGCAAGGATATCGGCCTTACATCCCGACTTTTTGATGACATACGGCGCCGTTTCTACTTCCTGCTGAACGGGGGCGGAGTGGGGAGGTCAGTTGGCCGGTGCCTCGGTTGGGATCCGGACGTACGGGTGAAGTAACATCTGGTTTATGGCTACCCTGGAAATTTCTCTCATGCAGGCTTGTAAAAACCTGAGAAGCAAAGGGGCTAGCATTAGTAATAGACAAACCACGATGATTGGGGTGATAATAGGAACTAGCCAGGCGAATATGAAAGACTGCCACCAGTTAAAAGAGGAAGCCAGTGCATTTTGCTTTCTTAGGAGGTCTTCTTGGAGGCAATAGAGGGTGTTGACATTTTCCTCCACTAGGCCTGTTTCTTTGACGTAATAGCAGCACTGCTCCTGAAGAAATAAACAGGTACCTCCTTTTTCTGCCATTAGTAGGTCTAGGGCCCGTGGGTTTTGGAGAGTTACCTGCACCAGTGAAGTTAAGTTGTCGCTGGAGCGAGGCTAAAGAGGCGGCTGATGCTTCAATAGCCACATGAAGTTTGTCTTCTAGTTGGGCAGCTGTATTGATGCTGTAACCCATGGCACCACCCCCTATGCCGGCTGCTGCAAGGGAAGAGACTAGAGAGAGACCTATTAGTGGGAGAAAGACCGCTCGTTTGTCCCAGTGATTGGGGGACGGTGCAATGAGGGACCAGAATTCTTCTTGTCCATACACTTCCAACTGTGGAACTAGGGTGATGGGCACGTAGGAAAAAGGGAAGGATGTCTTGATGACTTTGGTTAGGGTTCTGTTGCACCAGAAGTACCCTCCTGGGGGTGCGTAAAGGGGGGGTCTTTACCTCTACCGTGGTGTTACACCTAAGACTGGGACTCCTGGTCTTTCCGTAGCAGAGAGATAGATTTTGGGAGTGTATTTTGAACAAGGGGATGCCCGTTAAGGTGGTATAAGATCCCATGGGTGATTGTGACAGGCTTAATCCGGTTCAGAGGGGAACTGCGGCTAAGGGGAGTTGGTTAAGGGAGGCGCACAGAAAGCAAGTCGTGAAATTTGTGGCCTCAGTTAAGCTCAGCATGCTGGCCCCTTGTCGTACTAGTGTCAACCACGAGAAAGGTTGGGGAGGATTGGTTTGGGGCTTAATTTGGTTGGTTAAGGCAGCCTCATTCTGTTAAATGGTGTTGCTTAAGGAGTTAAGTCGGTCTATCCCTACTGGCACAATGCGGGTATAGGACTGATATATTAGCCGCATACCGCTGGGGTGGCTCTCTTGGAACCAGGTGTATATTTTGCCAGCAGTCCCTCTTTCCCAGCGGGGGTTCCAGGGAAGCTCATGGATAACGAGGGACACTTTGCCTTGGTTGAGAAAAAGCATATTACTTGCTGGGGAAGTGTTTGTTCTGAAGGTTTTGTGAATAACACAACCAGCATGCGGGCATCCACCACAGGTCTCGCTCCCTGTAAGGCAGCGGTCTTGGGTCTGTTGATATAGAAAACAGAGGGCAAAGGCGTCCACCCTTCCCACCGCCAGTCCTAATAGTTTTGGATTTAGACTATGGGAATTCAAATGTTATGGCTGACTGGCAACCTGCAGGTTGGCATTCCGCTTGGGCAAGGTGATGAGTTTTAGTGGCAGGGCCCTCTGTCCAGGACTCTTGAAGGTAGAACCGCCAGGCGTAGTAAGAGCATGCATCAAGATGACGGGCTAGAGCTATTGTGAACAGAAGGGCTCAGAGAGTCAGAGAATGACGGGCAGGGGCCATGCGTGAGGCGAAGGCAAGTGGGGCCCAGGGGCTCAGACCTCCACTGGTCATTTTGGGGAGCCATTTTGAGGCGGGACACATGATACCATGGGGCGTAACCCAGGAGTTTAGCAGCAGTGGGGGTGGTCAGAATAACAGTGTGGGGTCCTGACCACCAGGGCTGCAGAGACCCTGGCTTAAGTTCCCTGAGGAGAACGCTGTCACCTGGCTGGAGAGGCACTGCCGGATGGGAGTCCTCCGGGCTTGGGACCACAGGGAGAATGTGGTCAGCGTGTTCCCTGAGTAAATGGCGGAGGAGAGACAGGGAAGGTAGGAGGCCAGGGCAGGAGGTTGCACCAGGAGGCTTTGAGAAACCAGGAAGGGCCTACCGTACGGCAACTCAAAGAGGCTGAGACCTGTCGGTTCCTGTGGGGCAGCTCGGACCCGGGCCAGAGCAAGAGGTAGGAGTGTAGGCCAAGAGAGTTTTACCTCTATGATGAGTTTGGCCAGGTGGTTCTTAAGGATGCCATGAGCCCATTTGACCTTATCCGACGACTGAGGATGGTACAGGATGTGTAGCTTCCAAGAGATATTAAGGGACTCGGCAACCAGCTGGACCACTCGAGCAGTGAATGCCGGGCCGTTGTCTGACTGGATGGCCACAGGTAGGCCGAAGCGAGGAATGATTTCCTGAATTAAGAGGGAGGCTACTGTGTCTGCGGTTTCCTTGGAGGTAGGCAAGGCCTCAATCCATCCAGAAAAGGTATCTACAAAAGTTAGAAGGCAGCGAAGTTTCTTATAGGAGGCATATGGGTGAAATCAACTTGCCAGTCCTGGGCCTGCAAGCTGTCCCGCATCTGGTGAGTGGGGTACTGTGGCTTCAAGCTTCTGTGAAGCGAGTTTTTAGAGCAAGTGACAGGCTTTGTGCGCTCGCTCAATAGTCTACTGTAAACCTGGTGAGACAAATAGGGGCTGTTCAGAACAGCATAATGCGTTGGGCCCTATATGTAAGGACTGGTGTATGTCTGAAATTATTTTGGAAGCCTGCTCTCATGGAAGGGCGATCCTGCCGTTTAGGAAGATCCACCCTGATCAGACTCAGTTCCCCCTTTTAATATGAGGGCCTGCTTTTCCGATGGTGAGTAAGCTGGTGGCGTGGTCGTGGTGAGAAAAAGGGCTGGGGTGGGGGTCGGTCCGGTGCTAGTTAAGGCTCTAGCTGCTGCATCTGCGCATGTATTGCCCCAGGAAACAGGGTCACGTTGGGCCTGGTGCCCCTGACAGTGAATGACAGCAACTTCCCTGGGCAGTGACAGGGCTTTTAGGAGATTGGAGATTTGAGTAGCATTGATTATGGGCGATCCTTTGGTTGTGAGGAATCCCCGTTCTTTCCAGAGGGCAGAATGACAGTGGGTAATAAGGAAAGCATACTTCGAATCAGTATAGATATTCATTCGCTTTCCCTGTGCTAACGTGAGAGCCCGGGTTAAGGCAATGAGTTCTGCCTTTTGTGATGTGGTTCCATCAGGAAGGCAATGGGCCTGAAGGGTGGCTGAGTCTGTGACCACAGCATAGGCTGCCTTTCGCCATCCCTCAGCTGTTATTATGGAACTCCCATCTACATATAGAGTGAGGTCTGAGTCAGATAGAGGAAGGTCAGTTAGGCCTTCTCGGGGTTTGGTAAGTGTATTTCTAAGTTCGGGACAGGAGTGGGCTGGGGAATGAGAGTGAGACGGAAAAGGAAGCAAAGTAGCTGGGTTGAGTGGAGAAGTAGGATGGAGGCTGATTGAAGGATTTTCAATGAAGAGTAGATGAAACTCCTGTAAGCGGGAGGGTCCTAGGTGTGCGAGGGATTTGTGAGAGAGGTCAGTTAGCCAATGAGGAGAGAACACCGAAATAGGCTTGCCTCAGGTGAGCTTCAGAGATTCCCTGGTCAGCTCCGTAGCCATTCCTAGGGCCCGCACTAAAGGTTGCCACCCTCTGACAGTAGGGTCAAGCTGTTTTGATAAGTAGGCTACTGGAGAATACATGGGGCCTAGGAGTTGGGTTAAGACCCCCCACTGCTATTCCCTGTTTTTCATCCATGAACAAGTGGAAAGGGCGATTAAGATCGGGCAAGTGAAGGGGAGGTGCTGTGGACAGGGCAGTCTGTAAGGCTTTAAAGGCTTGTCTAACAGCCCCTGGATGAGAGAGAGGTCCCTTGGAGGTGTCTTTAGCTGCCGCAAACAGGGGCTTTGCCAGGGTGGCAAACTTGGGAACCCAGTGTCAGAAAAATCTTATAAATTTTAAAAAGGAGAGGATTTCATTGGCTGATTCTGGAGGTTGTAGTGCTAGTGATGCTTTTTGGCGGTCCGCAATTAAATCCCTAGTTTGTGGAGTAAGGCGGATGCCTAAGTAGATGGCCGAAGTAACTGACAGCTGTGCTTTGAAGGGAGAAACCCGGTAACCCCTAGACCTAAAATTAAGGAGAGCAGCTGTGTGCTGCTGTGACATGGAAAGAGAGGGGCTGCACAGCAACAGGTCATCTACATATTGTAAGAGGAGGCTGGGCTGAAGGGGGCAAGTGGCAAGATCAGCTGCCAGTCCTTGTCCAAAAATGTGGGGGCTATCCCTAAAGTCCTGGGGCAGGACTGTCCAGGTCAGCTGTTGTGACAAGTTAGAGTTGGGGTCAGTCCAAGTAAAGGCAAAGAGGAAGAGTCCGGGTGAAGAAAGCGTCTTTGAAATCAAGGATTGTAAAATGGGAGGTGTTAGAGGGAACATGGGATAACAAGGTGTAAGGATCGGGAACCGCCGGGTGGAGGGTACCACTGCCTCATCAATTAAGCGCAGGTCTTGGACTAGACGGTATTCGCTGGAAGACTTTCGGACCCCCAAGATAGGGGTGTTGCAGGGGGAGCTGGTGGGAATGAGGAATCCCCAGGTTAGAAGTCAAGAAATAATAGGTTTCAGACCCAGGTGGTGGGTTTTTGAAATGGGAAATTGAGGATGGGACGGAAAACCAGTGGGGTCCTTGAGGAATATTTTAACAGGCACACGATGTGTGGCAACTACAGGCTTGGAAGTATCTCATACTGAGGGATCAACTATCTCAGGAGAGACGGGGGTTGAGATTGAGGGGTCATGACTGGATGTGTTGCTGGTTAAGGCGAGTACTAGATGGGTAGAAGATGGGGTTGACTGTAGGGGCTAGCGAGTCAGAGGGTAGCCCCTAGAGTCTGAAGGATATCTCATCCTAGTAGGGGGAGTGGGCTTGAGGGTATGATCAGGAAAGAATGTGTAAATGGAAGTCCCTTCAGGTTGCAGGTCAGGGGACGGGTCCAGTTGGGGCAGGAGGGCTTCTCGTCAATTCCCATGACTGAGACCTGGGAAGGTATGCTAGGTCCCGAGTAGGAAGGCAATACAGAGGGCTACGGTAGGTAGCCCTCGTATCAACCATGAAAGAGACGGACTTACCCACTACCTGTAGAGTTACCTGGGGCTCGGCAAGGGTGATGGGGGTCCCCGAGTCCGGGCCGCGTCAATCATCCATGAGGCTGAGTTCAAACGAGGGGACTGTATCCTTTGAACTGGCTTGTCACCCACATGGAGGTGCGGGGGTTGAGCCCATAGTCCGGAGCAGACAGTCGTCCTTCCAGTGTCCAGTTCGCTTGCAGATTAGACAGGGTCCGTAGGGCAAACGCATGCAGGGGCAATGTTGAGCCCAATGTCCCTCCTAGCCACACTTGAGGGCCCGGGCGGGACCTTCGAGGCAGCCTGGGCAGATCCTGGAGGACCTTTTGGGAGGAACTTCGAGGAGCTCCTTGTGCCAGGCACTGGTTGAGCTGCCGGCCTCAGGGCTGCTACAATAGCTTCAGTTTGGAGGGTTACCTGTTGCCGTAGATGGGCCTGGCGGATGGCCTCAGCCTTTTCCTCTCGGCCATTAAAAACCTTAAATGCCATGTTTACCAGCTCTTGTATGGGAGTTTGGGGTCCCTCCTCTGCCTTTTTTAGTTTCTTTCTGATGTCTGGTGCTGACTGGGAGATAAAAGGGGCAGCTAAGAGGGTGGTCCCAGCAGGGGAGTCTGGGTCTACTCGGGTGTGAAGGACCATAGCATTGGTTAGTCGGTCAAGGAAGGCAGCTGGGTTTTCAGCAGGACCCTGTTATTTCACGCAGCTTATCATAATTAACTACCTTTTGAGCCGCGTCTTGCATGCCTGCTAGGAGGCACCGTAGCATCTGGTCTCGGCAGTGGCAGCCATCTTGGCCAGTTTGATAGTCCCAGTTAGGTTTGGTCGCAGGGACTGCCACTGCGCCTACTGGCATCTGAGGCTCAGTGAGATGTACCTGATCAGCATGTGCTCTCGCTGCCTCAAGGATGTGGCCACGCTCATCAGGAGTAAGGGTAGAAGACAGGATTACATAGGTGTCATGCCAGATTAGGTCATATGCCTGAGTGAGGTAACAAAATTCCTTGATATAGGCAGTAGGATTGGTGGAGAAGGACCCTAGGCATTTCTCAATGGTGGACAGATCGGCAGGGGAGAAGGGGATGTGCACCCTCCACTCCGGCCACCTCATGGAGAGGACAAAGGAGGGAATGGCTGATGCCAGGAGCACCATGTGAGCAGGTGTGGGCACTAACAGGAGGCCACATCAAGACTCAGAGGAGGGGCAGGAGGGGAGTGGGTGCAAGCTGGGAGAGGAGGAGGAGGATGTGGGGGGCAAGCTGGAAGAGGAGGAGGGGGAGGAGGATGTTGGGGGCAAACTGGAAGAGGAGGGGGGTGTTAGGTGGAAATTGGAGGAAGGGATTGGGTGGAAACAGGAAGAGGAGGGGGAGGAGGGGGTTGAGGGTCTGCATATGGCAGGGGATTATTGGGTCGAGTTGGTGGCAGGGAAAGTTCATCAGACAGATTGGGGTCAGAAAAAGAAGAGGAGGCTGGTGAAGGGGCCGAAGGCAGAGTGGGAATGTCTTTGGCCAGGAGCACCTGGGTGGTAATGCAAGAGGAACACAGGTCGGGATGGGAGCAGAGGTGCCAGAAAGCTTGAATATAGGGAACCTCCGCCAACTTACCGTTTCTCTGGCAAAAGTTGTCTAAATCTGTCTGGACCTTGCAGTCAAGTGTGCCTTCTAGAGGCCACTTGGAACGGTTGTCCAGGGGATACTGTGGCCAGGCTACAGTGGAGAGGAAGAACAGCGTTTTCTTTTTTTTTTTTGAAAGGCCCAGCTTGGGGAGGTTTAAAACTACGCACCCCAGCAGCGACTTAGGGCCAGGGTGGGATCCCCGGTTGCCCATGATTAGCTAGTTAACTGTGGGGGTGAGGTACTATACTCAACACAGGCAAAAGAGCTCTTTTCTGGAGGGGGTGGCTGAGAGAACTTAAAAGCTGCAATGAGTACAACGAGAAAGAAGATAGAAGGCTAGAGCTATCCGCCACATGGGAGAATCTGAGGAAGTGACAGGAACAGGGGTAGAGAGTGAGGAGGAAGTGACAGGGAGAGAGGCAGAGAGTGAGATTTTAGTAATAGATTAAAAGTAGGAAGAAAAAAGAGAACAGAGTTATCTCTAGAGGCAAAAAGTCAGTGAAGGTCCCCTGTAGCCAGCGGTCCGTTACCCGCTGTATGTCAGCCAGCAGAAGCCTAATGAAGCTGGCGAACTTGCAGCAAAGACAGAACCACATATAGGTTTGACAAACCAAGGGTGGGAGCCCCCCCGGATGGGAGACCAGTCTGATGCCTTCCCGGCCACGTCCCCAGAGGGATATTTCAGGGGCGTCTTGGCTAAGGTATACCCGTATAACCCCCAGGCCTGGTCACCTCAAAACCTTCGGTCCTGAGGTGAATCGCCTTATGTCCCCGTGGAACCGCGGATGGAGGCCCACTCAAGCCCCATAGCCGTTAAGCTGTGGGACTACACATAAACTCACTCATTCACACACTGGCTCTGGAACAGAAAAGAGGAACTAAGAGTACTTAGGCGGGAGTTAGCTTGCCAAAGGGCTAATTTGGAACTAAGAGCTGGGGTCTGGTCGAGGTCCTAAGTAGGGCCTGGGGTTGCAAATGGGGCTTCTTATTACCCAAACCTCACTCGCTGCTGCGGAGATGATCGGAAGGCATCCTGGACTGCACTGCTGAACAACAGAGAGGGTTCAGGAAGATGGGGACGTCTCCCTCAGGCTCCTGACCCCTGGCAGACCCCTTACAGGGAGAAGACAAGAGAGTAGGGACATGTCCTCTACGCTCAGATCCTCAGAATGGAACCAGGCCCCAGGCCCACGGTGGCAAGGAGTCCCTGACGCGGCTGCGGTTACAGGCGGGGAGTCCATGGAGCAGGCAGCGGGAGAGGCTATGGGCGACAGAAGTCTTACCTTGCAGCGGAGCGGTTTCCTGGTCCGGCTTTAGGTGGAGGAATCAGTCCCCCCCGCCCCCGCCCCAGGAAGGGGGTCTTACAACTCCACCCGGGTTTCACAGCACCAAATGTAAGGGTTATTGCCGAGTTTAAAATGAGGAAACTGAGGCCAGTATAAGAACAATCAGAGGCCAATTTATTTATCTCCTGGGCGAGGTTCTGTGGTCCTGGGGAAAGGGGCCAGAGAAGTTGCGTTTGACTTCTCAGGGCAGGGGGGTTTTATGGGAGTTAGAGGGGTGGGCTGCCATTGGGTAAGGCTTGGCGGGATTTCTTCAATTTTCGCGGGTTCCGCTGTATAGTTTAGTGCTGAGGTTCAAATGCATAGCTTGGTGCTGAGAGTGCATAGTCTAGTGCTGAATATAGACCTGGGGGCAGAATGCAGAAGTGGGCGAGGGGAGCCCGCATGGAGGAGCCAGATGCTGAGTAAAACTGTTACCAGGCATAGAGAGGGGTGGGTGGTGTTCATCCGGCTCTTAGCAAGGCTATCGGCCTTACAGGTAACATTGTTAGTGGTGAAGTACACACAAATTATTCAGTGTTACCATAGGAAACGTCCTGTCTTCAATTTCTTATGTATTCCTGGTATAACACTTTCAAATGAATGTTGTACTTTAGAAACAACCGAATTATTGTTTCTCTGGTAACATCCAGTGTGCATAATCTCTACCACGAGTTCAAAATTAAGAAATTGGGTTTTCTTTCTAAATTCCACTTGATTTGTTGATAAGGACAGTCACGGCAAATCTGAAATAACCAAATTAACTCATATCAAAAATGAGTCTTGGCGGGGCATGGTGACTCATACCTGTAATTCCAGCACCTTAGGAGGCTATTGGCGATCACCTGAGTTCAGGAGTTGGTGACCAGTTTGGCCAACATTGAGAAACCCCATGTGTACTGAAAATGCAAAAAATTAGCCACGTGTGGTAGTGTGCACCTGTAATCCTAGCTACTCAGGAGGCTGAGGCATGTCAATCACTTGAATCCAGGAAGTGGAGATTACAAGATCATGGCACTGCTCTCTAGTGTGGGTGACAAAGCAAAAATGAAGAAAAAAAAAAAAAAAAAAAAAAAAAAGCCTCTTGAGTAGCCTGGCAACTGTGTTGGTGTTTTCTAAATGTTAATTGCTTTCACTTACGTCAGGGGCATTATAGTCACCATTCTCAGGTGTTAAAATACTTCCCCTTAAGTCTGCGTACCACGTCAATTACTATTTCCCACATATCACTGACTTACTCTCAAATCCCTTATTAATATCCTTCAAAACCCAGTGTACTCAGTATACCCTGGCACTCAGGATTGTCTGATCTGCCCAGACTGAGAGGTGGAAAAGGCAAACCCTTCAGGGGTCAGGAAGGTAATAAAAACGAGAGGGGTGCAAAATGTTAGGTAGTCAGTGGTTTCAACCTCAGTATAAAAGACACTATAGAAGGTGCAGCAGATAGACAGACTCGATAGGTCATGTCCAAATGAGAAAGACATTGTCTCACTCAAATGGACAGTAAAACAGCAGTGCAGACTTAAGGCAGATTTATTTTCAGAGAAGCAGGGAATCTGAAATTTTGGGTGAAATGTCCCAATTGCCAAAAGCTGAAAATGCTCTCAAATGTAAAATTCAGGTCAGATTCTGTCAAACTCCTCCTTGTTCTACATGTGAATAGCTAGTCTGTACCTTATGCATATTTAAAATTCATCCTTAAGCAAATCCATGGGCCACCACAATCCTTCTACATTGTAGCAAGAGTCTGGAACTCTGCTTCCTTGTGCCTCCCACTGGAATGTCTTCCCTCTAATCTCCAACTTACCAAACTGGTCAGGGGCAGCTGAGACAGCCCTATTTCTGGGAGTCCTCCCCAGTCACTAGTAATCAGAAGCATCTCTGCTGTCCCTGCCCTTCATCCAAATAACAATATTTAAACTGTTTCATATGTGTTTACAATTAACTACTTCATGAGTGACTGCAGTATGGACGGAGCAAAAAGGAATGCTGAGGGAAGACTCCTGTTAGAACAAGCTTGTCTTCCAGAAATAGGAATGAACTTTGACCAGTACCAACGCAGTCTCCAGGGCAAGAAAAGCTAAGGGTATCCATCCCCTTGACAGTCAGGATGGAATTACAGGTAATTCGCACCTCTTTGTTGACTCTCAGGTGGAAACTCCCTCCCCAAGAGGTGAAGTGCAGCAGTCCACTCCAGAGCCCCACAGCTGGGGTCAGGGATGTCTGAGAAATCACCAGGGTAGCCAATTCCATCCAGAGGGGCCCAGCATGACCCACCACCCCCAAGCTCAGTTTCAGGCTCGGGCCAGGAAGTGAAGTCCTTGTCCCCAAGCAACTGAGTGAGGGTTTGTCTCTAACCCTGTGGGCTCGAATGGAAGGAAAATGGCCTGGAGGTGCCCACAGGAGAGCAGCCGAATTCTGAGAGCTCTCTGGGGCTTCCAGCTTGCATCCCCTTTGAGTAACACAGGAACACGCAGAGAGGCATGCTACATGCCTACAGGGCACCCACGGAATGCAGGTGCACACTGTAGATCCTGAAAGTGAAGGTCAGGTAAGGGGCAGAGGTGTGTGGAAGTCCTGAAGAGGGAGGCCTCCCCGGGTGCCAACCAGACTAGGGGCCAGCCCACTGACCAGAAGTACTTCTGACGTCAACACAACACACGGGAAGGTGTGTAGGGTGGGTAGCGGAAGTGACCAAAGAGGCCGCTGGGGATTGTAGTTTTGGAGCTAGAGAGGCGGCAAGCAGTCGACTTTGCCCGCACAGGGTGCCTCTGACACCTGCACAGCACACACGAAGTTTAGGAGCCCACTGTTAGGATGCCCAAATGGCAGACAACTTTCTCTTCTGTAAGTCAATGAGATGTATTGACCATGAGAGCACCCCAGGAGTGGCAAAGGATTCTGGAAAATGTTTTCCCAGCGCTCAGCTACAGGTAAGCTTAGCTCATTATGCAGGTTTCCGTGCTTGGGCCCTTCTCCGAGTAGAAGCCAGGTCAGGATGGACGCCACTCAGGGGGAGGTGATGCTCTGCTGGGACTCCCGCTTTCGGGGTGACATTGGGCTCTGTGTCCCCTAGAGTAGGAGGGTATGCAAGGACAGGGAATCCCAAGACTGTTCTCAGTGAAAGCAAGATTGTCTTGGGGCAAACCCCCAGAATGGAGACAGGGGAGAGTCTGGTCCCATTTCCCCAGGATTTTAGGAGATAGAGGCTGGACTGTGGTGACCAGCAATAGAGCCCCTGGTGATAGTGGTGATGAGGATCCAAGGCTTGATCCAGAAATTCTTGAGGTTTGTTATGAGACAGACTTGCTCTGTTGCCCACGCTGGAGTGCAATGGGAATCTTGGCTCACTGCAACCTCCATCTCCTGGGTTCAAGAGATTCTCCTGCCTCAGCCTACCAAGTAGCTGGGATTACAGTTTCCTGCCACTATGCCCAGCTAATTGTTTGTTTGTTTTTCAGTAGAGACCGGGTTTTGCCATGTTGGCTAGCCTGGTCTTGAACTCCTGACCTCAGGTAATCCACCCACCTTGACCTCCCAAAGTGCTGGGATTACTGGCATGAGCCACCATGCCTAGCCTGAAGTTTTAATTTTTACCTTACAGGTGCGGTTTGCAGGAACCTTCTGGGGGGTGGTGTTGAAGAGAAGGCATTATTCTAACTATTTTGTTTAATATGAGCGTTTTCTTTTTGCATTAATTTGTGTTTTTAACGATATTACATTAAAATTTTGTTTATCTTGATTACTGGGTTTTTTTGGTACCCCTTTAAATACTGCATCCACAGTCCTGATACAAAGTGAGGCCTGGCCTCTATGCATCAAACAGCCAGAAAGTCCCTCAGGAACTTACTTTCTCTGAATTGCTGAATTGTGAGTGTTTCCTTTCCTGACTTTCTTAATATCCACAATTTCCTCGTAGCCATCCCTCCACAGCCACACCCACAAGGCACCTCCAGGACCTGTCATGAAGCTTATATTGAAAGATTATTTTTAAACCTTCACACTCCACCCCCCCTCCAGAATGTCTTTCCTATTGGGTGTTTAGGAAGGAGGATTAGCTGAGAGCCCTATTCCCGCCCAGGTAAATGATCTTGCCAAAGATTTAATATCCACTTGTAGAATGCTTGTAAGAGAACTCAGTGGGAACCAAAGTCAGGCATGGGGCTGGGCTTTAAGGAGCACAAATGAAAAGAAGGGACTAGGAAACTTCAGAACGGTATGCGGGGTGGGCAGTGAGGAAGTGGGATCTTGATATAATCCAGATTCCTATGTGTAGACGCACGTATACAAAGTCTGTAGAGAGACCCAGGCTGATGCGGCATATGTAACACATCAACATAATGTAACAACAGGTCAAGTCATAAGGGGACTAAAAAACAGAGCAAGCAGAGAAACGAGTAGTATCGAACTCCACAGAAATGAATAAACATAAGACACCCAAGAATGCCACATTCATTTAAATCAAAGGTGGCAGGCCGGGTGCAGTGGCTCATGCCTATAATTCTAACACTTTGGGAGACCAAGGTGGGTGGATCATTTCAGGTTTGAAACCAGATTGGTCAATATGGTGAAACCCTGTCTCCACTAAAAATACAAAAATTAGTCAGGTGTGGTGGCACCTGTAATCCCATCTACGCTGGAGGCTGAGGCAGAAGAATCAATTCAACTCGGGACATGGAGGTTGCAGTGAGCCAAGATCAGGCCATTGGACTCCAGCCTGGGCAACAGCAAAACTCCGATTCAAATAAACAAAGATGACACTTACTGAGGGCTGCTTGCCAGATTCAATGATACATCCTCACCTGAGTTAGCCTCGGGAATCTGGACCACTTGTCATATCTGTGCTTTACAAAGTCCCATTTCCCATTCTTTCTTTTCTGGGTTGAGATGTGAAAATCGATCTAAATTATAATAAACATAGTTAAAAAAAAACTAACAATGCCCATCTAGTTAAAATTAACATAAAAATCAGTAAAAAGAAATTGAAAAAAATTTTGAAATTAAAAGCCATATAAACCACTGTCACTGATGAGTTAGGTCCCACAGGGAAGTCTGCTGAGGAGGACCCGATAGGGTGGAAAAAACCATAGAGTTGTATTTTAAATATGTGATAGTCATTAAATCGTCATTGTACCTCAGGTAGAAGTAGGTAAAACGGCAGAAAACAACGTAGAGGAATGAGCTAGACACCACAGATATGTAATGATGGACAATAAATGACATGATGTGGAGAGTCCACCCACTCACGCAGACTTTGTATGTTCACACACACGAATATGCATGCATGACCCCGGGAGATGTCTACACAAATGCATTTACACGGTGAAGTCAATGAGGAGATAAAAATCAAATAGGGATATGTTTAATGGGAAACCCTTCAAAACAGGCACACAGCATCTCCCCTCCCTTCTGAATACCATGTGTAGCCTGCAGCAGCAGATGTTGAATCACAACCTGGGCCACCCGTCTCAGAATGTCACAAACATGGACATGTAGACGGAGAACTTACCAGATGCCCAACCTGGGTGGCACGGGGCTCTGAAAGACATGCTTCTAGAAAACTCCCAGAGGGAACAACAGGGACTGCGGATTCCAGGAGGCTCCAGAGGCCTGTGTAAACGTCAAGCAGTGAGCAGACATGCTTGTCAGTCATTCGGATAGCACGAACTCAAACTATCTAATAGAGCATCTCAAATTTCTGTGTGGTTCAGACTCACCTGAGGGGCTTGTTAAGTACAGACTGTTGGGTCTCGCTCCTAGTGTTCTGGGCGCAGCTTGTGAATCTGCATTTCCACCATGTTTTTCAGGTGATACTGATAGTGTTGGTCCAAGGACCACACTACGATCTAATTTAACACCAGGGTAGGGGACGTACTAAAGAGCAAAGCAACAGAAGGGACCTGAAGCCTACAGGGGCTTCTCTGTAAACTCCTCAAACATAAAAACCTTCAAGGCACTCGAACAGCATTTACAGCATCAGGTCTAAGAATACAAGGTACCACGCAGGGAGTGCTCCATCAAGTAGAGAGATGAGCCCTCTGAGTGTCCCTGTCTCAGTCCGTTTGTGTTGCTACAATACCACAGACTGGTGATTTATAAGCAAGAGGTTATCTGGCTTACAGTTCTGGACCCTGGAAAGGGGAGGGGCCTGCGCCTGGTGAAGGTCTCGCTGTGTCATCCTACGGTGGAAGGGAGAAGAACACGAGAGTGACCACATGTGAGGAAGGAGGGAGAAAGAGGGAAAGGGAAGGAAGCCAACCTCATCCTTTTATCGGGAACCTACTTCCCGAGACAACTAACCCACTCTGCCTTCATCCATTCATGAGGGCAGAGCCTTCATGACCTCATCACCCCTTAAAGGTTCCGCTGGTCCACATGGTTGCATTAGGGGTTGAGTTTCCAACACATGAACTCCAGGGAACACATTCAGACCCCAGCAGTCCCATGTAAGCCTTCCAGAAAACCTGTGTGCCTGGCTCTGGATCCCTCCTTTCCACCCTCTCTCACTGCAACTCTTAACATCCTGTTCCCTCATCATTTTTCATTTGAGCACAGCAAAGAATACAATCACTACATCTATTTTTTATGAACCTTTCTTAGATTAAAATAATTCTATCACTCAAGTAGTAATTTTTTTTTTTTTAAACAAAGCCGCACTCGTTGCCCAGGCTGGAGTGCAGTGGGGCAATATTGGCTCACTGCAGCCTCTGCCTCCCGGGTTCAGGTGATTCTCCTGCCTCAGCCTCCCAAGTAGCTGGGACTGCAGGCGCGTGTCACCATGCCTGGCTAAGTTTTTGTATTTTTAATAGAGACGGGGTTTCACCATGTTAGCCAGGATGATCTTGATCTGCTGACCTCGTAATCCACCCACCTTGGCTTCCCAAAGCACTGGGATTACAGGCGTGAGCCACCACACTCAGTCTCAAATAGAAATTTGTAAAAATAAATTTTCATTTTTGATATGAGATAATATGAAATTTTTTTTTTAGAGCTTTGTTCTTTCTCCTAGGCTGGAGTGAAGTGGGGTGATCTTGGCTCACTGCAACCTCTGCCTCCTGGGTTCAAGTGATTCTCCTGACTCAGTCTCCCAAGTAGTTGGGATTATAGGCACCCACCACCATACACAGCCAATTTTTTTTTCTGAGACAGAGTTTTGCTCTTGATGCCCAGGCTGGAGTGCAGTCTCCCAAGTAGCTGGGATTACAGGAATACGCCAGCTAATTTTGTATTTTTAGCAGAGACAGGTTTGGCCATATTGGCCAGGCTAGTTTCGAACACTTGACCTCAGGTGATCCACCTGCCTAATTTTGTATTTTTAGTAGAGACAAGTTTTCACCGTGTCGGCCAGGCTAGTCTCAAACTCCTGACCTCAGGTGATCTGCCCGCCTTGGCCTCCCAAAGTGCTAGGATTTCAGACATTTACCGGGCGAGGCTATGAACATGAAATTCTGTATTAATGAAAACTCTAAAATATATAGAAAATAAAAATAATTACCAAAAATGTTCCATGATGCTAAGCAACATGTAGAGTGAGATCTTACACCCTAAAATATATAGAAGACCTAAATATGTTATTTCAAAAATCAAGCAGAAACATAAGGGCTCCATACACACTTTTTAAAGTAAGTTTTCTGGCTGGGCACGGTGGCTCACAAGTAATCCCAGCACTTTGGGAGGCCAAGGCGGGTGGATCACCTGAGATCAGGAGTTTAAGACCAGCCTGGCCAACATGGCGAAACCCATCTCTACTGAAAATACAAAATTCCGCCAAGCCTGGTGGCAGGCATCTGTAATCCCACCTTCTCGGGAGGCTGAGGCAGGGAGAATTGCTTCAAACTGGGAGGCAAAGGCTGCAGTGAGCCGAGACGTGCCATTGCATTCCAGCCTGGGGGACAAAGCGAGACTCCGTCTCAAAGAAATAAAAGCTTTCTAGACCAGGCACAGTGGCTCATGCCTATAATCCCAGCACTTTGGGAGGCCGAGGTGGGCAGATTGCTTGAGGTCAGGAGTTCCAGACCAGCCTGGCCAAAACGGCAAAACCCTGTCTCTACTAAAAACACAAAAATTAGCCGAATGTGGTGGCTCACATATATAATCCCAGCTACTCCTTGGGAGGCTGAGGCAGGAGAATCACTTGAACCTGGAAGGCAGATGTTGCAGTAAGCCAAGGTTACGTCACTGTACTCCAGCCTGGGTGACAAGAGTGAGACTCTGTCTCAAAAAACAAACAAACAAAAAAACTTCTAATTAAACTCTAGAAATAATTTGAAATTCTGTCAGGAAAGATGTACTCAAAAAAACAAGGAAAGTGTGTAAGTCACTAATGTATCAAAGAAAAGAATCGTTCTTGTATTGCAAATAAATACCCAACCAAGACAAAAAGGTACGTCACATCTTCTGGGAAAGTACTAAAATGAGGATGAGAGGAAAACTGTGACCCTCGAACGTGAGACAGAAAAAATCAGGGCAGGATGTTAAGGAATTGGAAATGATTCTTCATATTAAAGTAGTACAAGAGACAGAGAGGAGACAGGAACAGGATGGTAAGACTCCAGGGCTGTGGGCGTAGAAGGTAATAAAGAAGGCAGAGAGCAGTGGGATGTACATAAAATCACTCTCCAGAGCTGTGCTGTCCAATAAGACAGCCACTTGTCACACGTAGCTGCTGAGCATGTGAAAGATGGCTAGTCCAACCTGAGAAGTACTGAAAGTGTAAAACACATTTTTAAAACATTCTGAATACTCATATAAAAGAAAGAATGGGTCAGTGTGGTGGCTCACATCTGTAATCCCAGCACTTTAGAAGGCCAAGGCGGGAGGACTGCTGGAGCCAGGAGTTTGAGACCAGTCTGGGCAACACAGCAAGATCCCATCTCTTCAGGAAAAAAAAAAAATTAGGCCGAGGACAGTGGGTCACACCTGTAATCCCAGCACGCTGGGAGGCCAAGGTGGGTGGATCGCTTGAGCTCTGGAGTTCAAGACCAGCTTAGACAACATGGCAAAACCCTGTCTCAACAAAAAATATTCAGACATGGTGGCACATGTTTTTGGTCTCAGTTACTTGGGAGACTGAAGTGGGAGGATCATTTGAGCCCCAGAGGTCAAGGCTGCAGTGAGCCAAGATTGTGCCACTGTACTCCAGCCTGGGTGACAGAGTGAGACCCTGTCTTTAAAAAAAAAAATTTGCTGGACATGGTGGTGTACGCCTGTAGTCCGAACTACTAGGAAGGCTGAGTAAGGAGGATCTCTTCAGCCCAGGAGTTTGAGGCTGCAGTGAGCTATGCTGGTGCCACTCACTGCATTCTAGTCTGGGGAACCAGGCAAGACCTTGTCTCAAAAGGGAAAAAAAAAACAAGACTGTAAACTATCTCGTTAATAACTTTTATTTTGATAAGATGTTGAAGTGATATTTTGGATAATGGTAACATTTTAGGTGAAATAAAATACTAATTTCACCTGTTTCTAACTTTCTTAAGTGACTACTAGAAAATCTAAAATGACTTGTATGTCTGGCATTGTATTTCTATTGGAAACCACTGCTCTAGAGAGAAATGGTCTCTAGGGAGGCAGAAACATGAGAACCACAATAGAGGTGGATGGAAGGAAGTGACAGACACATCTGGTGGGTACCTTCAGTGCTGACAGTGGGGACCCAGGAGATGGACAGGCCCCCATCTACACACAGCAGGAGAGTAGTGAGGCTGACACTAGGAGTGCTGAACTGACACACCGAACTACTCAGCTTTGGCTGGGCGCAGTGGCTCACGCTTGTAATCCCAGCACTTTGGGAGGCCAAGGTGGGCAGATCACCTGAGGTCTGGAGTTCCAGACCAGCCTGACCAACATGGAGAAACCCTGTCTCTACTAAAAATACAAAATTAGCCGGGCATAGTGGGACATGCCTGTAATCCCAGCTACTCGGGAGGCTGAGGCAGGAGAATTGCTGGAACCCAGGAGGCAGAGAGGCTGCAGCGAGCCAATATCATGCCACTGCATTCCAGCCTGAGCAACAAGATCCAAACTCCATCTAAAAAAAAAAAAAAAAAAAGAAAAGAAAAGAAAGAACTACTCAGCTTTATAAACATGTGAAGAAGATACTGCGAAGTCATTGACAGCCCACAGAATGCACCGTAATAGAAATGAGAAAACACTTAGGAACAAATGATACATAAATACTGAATACGAAAAACTGGCTGGCTTAAGAGACAGGCCCCCTTCTCCCTAACACAGGTTCAAATCCTAAGAGAATTGAGGGTCCAGATCAACAAGCCGAGACTGCTGTGATGGTTCATTTTGGAGCAGGAACTTCATTTCCATGCTGGGGTTGACGGTGCCCTCTACTGCCCCCTCTGTGCTTTGCCCTTGTTCATTAAAAATGGCCTTTCATGTTAAGTTGAAATCTGTAGCAGAGGCTCAGTGCAGTGGCTTCTGCCTGTAATCTCAGCACTTTGCAAGGCGGAGGTGGGCAAATCACTTGGCCAACACGGTGAAATCCCACCTCTACAACAAACACAAAAACAAGCGGGGTGTGGTGGCTCATGCCTGTAAGCCCAGCTACTCAGGAGGCTGAGACAGGAGAATTGCTTGAATCCAGGAGGCAGAGGCTGCAGTGAGCTGAGATCACACCAATGCATTCCAGCCTAGGCAACATAGCGAGACTCTGTCCCAAGAAAAAGTCAAATCGTAGCAGAGAGAAAACTGAATTTGGGTGTTTAAGAAAGCAACTTTCAAAATTAACTGCTAAAGAGAATCAATCTTAATGGAAAATATAAAACACTTCTTCATGAACATTAAAGAAAATTCTAACGACCAAAACTTCCGGAATTAGGGTAACTGAAATGGCAGTTTAATTCTCCCGAAGAAACTTTAATTTCTAACCAACAGTACTTTAAAGCTAGGGGTAGAAAATTACTTCTTATAGCTTTTCACAAGCATTAAAGCTAAAAATCCAAAATCAGGTCTTTCTCTGATAGGAACTCCTCCTCAAAACAGAGGAAGCCTACAGGACTTCAACCTGGAAACTACTCAGAGAATCTGGAATATTCCCTCCAGTGTTATCTAGAATCGAAAGAAAACCAGTTAACTCTTGGGGTACGGTTGGAGCCTGACATCTACAGAGGGGTCATTTGATACGCTGAGATCTGAACAAGATGATTATAACCCTTAAAATGATGTGAACAAAATAAAAACAGAGTAAACTGAAAGAGAACACACACAACTGGTCTAAAGGGCCTACTTGCTTTGCCTTCTCTGGTTTTCAGGTCTCCTCACTACTGGGGGGTCCAGTAGTGCAGCTCTAGACCAAGAAATGGGAGGATTTTAGAGTGACTGGTGATTTCTCTATCATCTACCTTAGTAAACATTCTCAGCAATTTATGCGAAAAGTAACAAAACCACTGCAGATGACAAAGACTAGGTAACACACATACTGTCTCCCAAATACCTACCCACAAGCTCAAACACTTTAAACTGTTAGGGTCACTGGCGCTAATCGCTATGACATGAGGTCAGAACAAACCATCAAGCACTAAACAGAATGTTTCCACTCCTAAGCCACTGTGTGGAGAAGCAGAGCTCACCCATCGGGTGCTGTGTCAGAAGAGACGCACGTGCACCGGGGTGTGTGTTTGAATGCAGCAATCAAACTTTCATCCCCACAGCTCCTCTGCTCACTGGCACTGCAGTCTGCAGCCTCATGTCCTTGGGGGACACAGTGGGGAGGTAACCCACATGCCAGTGACACCATGGGGAAAGAGACACTGTGAGACTTTGCCCTCATTTCTGAGGGGCCTGCTTTCTTTTCCCTTTCGGTTATGTGTACACTTCCCTACTGTCTCCCTGACCACTCTCGTGCCACCCAAAACCACGGCTTAAGTCACCAGTTAGGCCTTTCTTGGTGTAACTATGGTAAGGTGAGCCTTACCTGTTCAATTTCTACAGTGATTCATTCAAGATCTGGACCTAGAAGTATAAACAAACAAGATTTGCCTGTGTAGGTTTGGCCTCTTCCTTCTCAGGGGAAGGCCTTAAGAAACATCAGGCTCTCTCTGCTCAACAACTCCCTGTGACCCTCCTTCAGGAACAGGGCAAATCCCACCAGCTGCGGACACTAGAGTGCAGTACAGACCCACAGAGAACAAGACCCAAGAGAACCCACCACATTACAAAGTCAGGGAGGGGTGTCCACCATCAAATGTTCGAGCTTGCAGTGGGTGACGGAGGGTAGTGGGTTCAAGCTTGATTTTGGTGGAGGTGGGAGGAGGGTATTAGGCTTTAAGGAGAAGTGAAGGCCCAAATTACATCTGCGCAAACTGACACACAACGAAGGTTACACCAGGTCAGGTGAGGTGGTTTAGAAATGACAGAAAGCAGAGGAAGAGGCTGAAAATGTGACAGGGCTTCTCTCTGAACTGTGAGGACAGTAAATACCAGGAACGCCCAGAAGTGTTTATAGCCGCATTTCTTCATTAACAGGGCAAAGTTAGAGCAGCAAGGACCAGAGGAAGGCCAGACACTAATCCTGGGGTAACAGATGTAAACCTGGAAATCAGCCACCCTCGGTGTCACCATTTTCCTCATGAGGAATCAAATACACAGAAGTTCATTGAAAGGTTCAGCGTGAGAAAACTGATAAATAAAGCCAGAGTCCCAGACATATGCCGAATGCTCACTGATTAAAAATCAACCACACTTGATAAGCACAAAGAAACTCACTTTCCACATCCCTTAAGTTATCCTCTCTGGTGGGTTTTCTCCTGTAAATTACATATGACAGAAGAGAAAGAAGTAATTGAAAACTCAGCAAAGTAAATACACTTCTAAACTCATGAACAGTAAAATATGGAAGTATCTTTGAGAATATCCAAAGAAAATGTAATATACATGAGAGCAAAAAGGTCATTTGGCAAAACCTACAAAATGAGTCCAAAATACGGTTCCAAGGAAACTTACCTTCAAATGCATCCAAAACAGAACAACAGGAAAAGAAGCTCCCTCCCGATTCCTGCTGAGGTGAGAAAAATATCAGCATAAACAGAAGGAAATCAGGCCAAAAACAAACAAACAAACAAAGCCCACAAATTTACAGGCCAATTTTTAAACTGCTGTTAGGTCTAAAACAAATGAGAAGTCTTGCCCTACCCATTAAACCAGAGCAAAAACTGTGCATTTCAAATACTGGGGGAACAGCGAGGTGGTGAGCCTGTTTAGGGCAGGATGCTTCTAACATATGGAAGAGTCTTTGACCCCTCCTCAGAATAATGCCATAAACGACAAAATATACAATGCATAGAATTTTCAAAGGAGACCAATTACTTAGAAACACAGCTAGCAGGATATTTTAATTTTTCTGATATATTAACAGGCATGTCGCTGTGGTTGTTTTAAAAAATGGCTGAACATTTCTTGCCACTCCTCCCTTTGAGAGGCAGAACTGATGTCCTGTCTCCCTGATCCTGGGTGATTTTGTTGTGCTACCTCATAAAAGACCACTCAGCATCTGCTCTGGAGCCCTGTGCCACCTAAGAATTCTGACTACCCTGACACTGCCAGGCTGTAAAGAAGTCAGGGACATATGAAAACACTACATGTAGGCACTCAGTCCCAGCTGAGCCTCTTCCAGCAACCCAACCCAGGTATCAGATGTGAGGGAACAAGCCTCCAAATGCTTCCAGCCCCCAGCTGCTGAGTCTTCCGTGCTGGGGCTAGACATCATGGAACAGACCAGCGGGCCACCCTTGTGCCCTGTACAAAATCCTGACTATGAGCAGGAGAATCCGCAAAAGTAATAAAATGATTGTTTGAGTCACGAAGTTTCGGTGTAATTTCTTACACAGTTATAGTGCCTACAACAGCCATCTTAACACATTAAGAACAACAGCGAGTAGCAAGTCATCACTGGGAACTGTTATTTGGAATTGTCATCGGGAAACAGTGACAACCATGAAGGCTATTTGGAGATGCTGTCAGATGACATAAATACTGCTTTGGTCTCACTGCTAACAACGCCCCATACCCGAGGGGTCTACAGCCTATATTCAAAATGGAAGGAAACACTACATTTTGGTTAGAGGAATGTGAATATTTACATGGGACCTCCTCATGGACTTCTAAACTTGGCTAATGGAACTGGGGGAAACAAACCCAGGGTTAGGAGGCATCAAAGGCATCAAGGTTGCTCATGAAAGAACTGGGGGTTACCAACGCTACTGTAGACAAGAGAGGAAAAAACAGTAGCTCAGCAGAGAGGTCAGGGTCAGGGTTAGGGTTAAAGCCTGTCTCAGTTTGCAGACATCCAGGAAAAGGACACCCATCTGAGTAATGGACTGAGGGTCAGTATTAAGATATGGGGAAATATCAAGAGGAAACATTAGTGGCTACTGCTGGGAACTTCTAGAGGTCTCACACAGCCATGAAAACTTCATCTTAGGTACAACATCAGAAGCAGAGGGGTGCTGAGAATTAAGGACAAGGCCCATGAAGAATGTGAGGGCTGTTTTATAAAGCACCGAATCTTCACACCTCATGAAGACAGGGACCTGGAGCCTACAGGAGGTGTCTCATTGACACCTATGACATAAATCCTATGGAAGTAAGAGACTGACCAACTAGCATTTTTAAGGAGCTAGGAAGGTACTGTCATTACCACTATATATATATATATATATATATATATATATATATATATATATATAAAAACAAAACCAGGATTATCGTTCATAAAGGAAATCCCCAAATCTCCTTAACTGGCTGTTTCTTTCACAAAAGTTACTCTATATACGTGCCCGAAAAATGAGACTTTAAAGACATTGGGGACAATGCTACTACTGATATATCAAAACCAGGAACTTATTTCCTTTAAAACAATTCCAAACTAATTCGCTGTGCCTTTTACAGAAATTTCCCAGAAGAAATGTCATTTTTTAAAGCCTAAGAAGTTGCTGCTGTTAGGACAACCACCAAAACTAAAAACTAGTGTAATTAGCAACAAGAAGAAGAAGCCATGTTGGCTGGCGGTCCTTATCAGAGATATTCCACTAAATAATAAAACTGGCAAAAAGCGAGATTGTTTTTAAAGGTTGGAGTACTTTACTATAAACATAATATAAGCCATAATATAAGGAAACGTTTCATAATATAAGGAAACGTATTTTACTTAATAAACCTCAACCCGCCGGTCACTCCCTCCCCTCGAGGCGTTCTGCAACAAAACACCTGCCTAAAATTAAAAGGTCGTTTTACTTAAAGGGGCTGAAAAGCTCCGGGTTTTTTTTCTTTCTTTCCCTTTTTTTTTTCTTTCATGCTTGCCTACATGCAGACCTTTAAACTCGAGACACTACGGGTCCGAGGTCGGGAAACTACCTCAGCTGCAGTGCAGGCGCCCAAGAGTCTGGTGCGCTGGCGGGAAAGGGCACAGACGGAGCCCGAGTCCCAGTTACCCCCGCGGGGATGGTCGATTTCCCAGCCGCGGACGCTCCAGGCGAGGACTCCACATCGCTGACCCTCCAGAGTCCCATATTCGGCGGGTGCTTGGTCGAACAGCCCAAGCCTGCGGAATCAGCTTCCCACTGTGAATCTGGACACCATCTGCAAATACAGCACGCGCCGGACTTCCGGAAACGATGACCAATGGGAAACGTTATCAGCTGTTACTAGGCGGACAATCCGTTTTCCGGCAACACAGAACGCAGGACGCTCGCAGTCAGCCTCAAATAGACGGATCTTGTAGCCAATGGATGTGTAGTTTCGCTCCACATTAGCCAATAAGAAGCGCTTGGGGCCGACCGGCCTATGAGCACAGCAAATGTTTTCGGTTCAGGCGGTGGCTCGCTTCTGTAATTCCAACACTTTAGGAGACCCAGTCGGGTGGATCACGAGGTCAGGAAATCTAGACCATCCTGGCTAACAGGATGAAACCTCGTCTCTACTAAAAATACAAAAAAGTAGCAAGGCCTACTCCGTAGGCTGAGGCAGGAGAATCGTTGAACCCGGGAGGCGGAGGTTGCGGTGAATCGAGATCGCGCCACTGCATTCCAGCCTGGGTGACAACAGCGAGACTCCGCCTCAAAAACACAAGTTTTCTTCCGCTTTCTGCGCTGGATCGCCCACCCGCCTCGCCAAACCAAAACTACAATCACCCTTGGTGCCGTTTCCCAACTTACTTGGAGATTTGCACCAAGCGCTGGAGACCCTCCCACCTGGTCCATGACCGCCGCCGCCCGGTGAACACCGAGACGCAACCGTGTGCACCGCCAGTCTTGTTATCAACAAACAGGCTAATAAATTATAAAAAATAAAATAAAGGAAATGTAGCCAGGCGTGGGGTGGCGTGCGCCTGTAGTCCCAGCTACTCGGGAGGGTGATGCAGGAGAATCGCTTTAACTTGGGAAGCGGAGGTTACAGTGAGCCGAGATGGCGCCATTACCCTCCAGCCTGGGAGGCAAGAGCGAAACTATGTCTCAAAAAAATTAAACGAAATAAAGGAAATGGGGCTGTTCGTGGTGGCTTACGCCTGTAATTCTAGCACTTTGGGAGGCCGAGACAGGCGGATCACTTGAGATTAGGAGTTCGAGACCTGTCCAGCCAACATGGTGAAACCCCGTCTCTACTAAAAATACAAAAATTAGCCGGGCACGGTGGTGCATGCCTGTAATCCCAGATACTTGGGAGGCTTAGACAGGTGAATCATTTTTACCCGGGAGGCGGAGGTTGCAGTGAGCCGAGACTGCGCCTTTGCACCAGCCTGGGCACGAAAAGCGAAACTCCGTCTCAAAATAAATAAATAAATAGGAAATGGACAAAGGAAACATTAATGCAGGAAATCACACAAATGCTTTCACTTACGGGCTCAGTCTTTGCAAAACTGAGCCTAGGGCAATTTGCACGTCTTTAGCAATTCCGGAGGACAGAGCAGAGAGGCAGCGTGAACTCGTGAACTCGCTTTTCTGTAATTTAATTGACTTGTCAGTAAAGTCAGTGTTTACAGGCATTTTCAGTGTTCTTTAGTGGGCTTCAGTTCTGATTTCAGTGTGGTAGGGCATCACAGGTTACCATTAGCAACCAGAACAGTTTCCACTAACCGCTTATTATAATTTTGATGACTGCATAAGTTAAACGTTAAAGAATTGGAGAAACTGGTGCCTGAGTATGAGGGATGGAATGCAAAAAACCCATGAAGACCCCGTCTGGGTTTTCTCAGACCCTAAGATCTGATCGAATAATAATATCATTCTTACACATTCACCTCAACCTGCCTTAAGATACAGAAATTTTCCAAGACTCTAGAGAAATCTTTCCAGACCCTGGACCCTTGTTAAAGACTGGATGTTGATTGAATGAAACACTCCTGCTTGTAGGTGCAATCCCACACGAAGCATGGAGCTTGCGACATATATAAGCACTAGGGGAAAAAATGTGCTATTTTGAGTTGGTCTGGCGAGTTACTTGGCACTTCTCCATGTAAGCGGTTGCAGAAATACACTTCCTTCTTTCCCAGCCTGTCTGCATCTTGCTATTGGACAATCGCGACTGACCGGCTCAACAAACTCCTCTTTCGTGTGGTTATCTGGGCCTCCTTTTGGAGGGAACATTTTAAATTTTCGATTTCAAAGGGTTCTGCTGGCATTCTTGCCGTTTTTTTTCTCTGCCTACCCTGGGATCTGAGTTCTCCTGGACTCACATCTTCAGCCAGAGTCCAGAAGCCCATACCTCCACATTTTGTGACTGTTCTGAAATCCCAGGGAGAATTTGCAGAAAATATGCACAAAAACCTTGCCGCTTTTTGCTATAAAACCCCACATTGGCTGGGCGCGGTGACTCACGCCTATAATTCCAGCACTTTGGGAGGCCGAGGGGGGTGGATCACGAGGTCAAGAGATCGAGACCATCCTGGTCAACATGGTGAAACCCCGTCTCTACTAAAAATACAAAAATTAGCTGGGCATGGTGGCGCGTGCCTGTAGTCCCAGCTACTCGGGAGGCTGAGGCAGGAGAATTGCTTGAATCCAG